GAAATGTATACTTTACCATAAATTGCAAAATATTTTGTCTAAGAGATGTCAGCTTTGTGTCAGTTCCCCTGGTCAGCCCGTCATCAGCTTCCGACCTCTCCCATCAGTGTCTATGTACCCCCTCCTCCTTTCTGTTTTTCTTTCGTTCTCGTTCTCTCGGTCTGAACTTTCTCCAAACTTTTTATCCCCCAACAATGTGGGAGTGGATTTTTTTCCCACTTACTTATTGACGTCAGACAAGGCATCATTTTACTAAAACAAATCCCGGCAATTACCTAAAGGGGGCACTATTGGACTGTTAATCCTTTTGGACTTTTCTTTAAAATTCCAATATTATTCCTAAAGATGACCCTTGACCTAAGCCTTGAACAAAACCATAAATATAATAGTGTGGTCTGTTCTATGGCAGCATATGTCTGACTTACTGTCTCTTAATAAATATACAGTTTTGAGAAAGTCTGAACTACGGCAATTAATTTTTTTTAAATACATGAGAGTGAAGCAATTGGTACCAGACACAGTGGTTCTCCACACATTTTGAAAATAAAATGATAAACACATATCAGCATATCCCACCTAATTCTATGTACTTAAACCACAAACCCACCATATTATCATATCAATAATACATACTAACATGTTTCAATTAGTAAAACCAAACAACGTATAATGAATATAGGTTTAATATTGTAAGAATACATAATACTTGAAATGATTCAATGAAGTAGGCATACAATATTAATAATGCAATAGGAATTATTGCTAATATAATCACTTGCAATTAATAGTACTTATTCATAAGGCAACTTTTAAATTAGTTCTTTTACCCCTTAAAGAAAAAAAAATCAAAGTCTTGTGTTCCTTATTTAAGTGTAAGACATGGCGGTCATCAATCTCATTATAACACAGTCTGGCTCCATGGCCAGTCCTTATCTTATGTTTGTTGTCTAGGACCCCACAATTTGCCTGGTAATGTACAGGTGAAACTCGAATAATTAGAATATCGTGCAAATGTTCATTTATTTCACTAATGCAACTTAAAAGGTGAAACTAATATATGAGATAGACTAATTACATGCAAAGCAGGATAGTTCAAGCTGTGATTTGTCATAATTGTGATGATTATGGCTTATAGCTCAAGAAAACTCCAAATCCACAATCTCAAAAAAGTAGATTATTGCATGCAATCAAAAAAACAAGGATTGTACATAGAACAATATCGGACCTCTGAAAAGTATAAGCATGCATATGTATTCAGTACTTGGTTTGGGCCCCTTTTGCAGCACTTACTGTAAATACTTTTGCACGATATTCTAATTATTCGAGTTTCACCTGTATTCTTGACAATTCTTATTTTGTAAACTACAGGTGAGATCTTGTCAATGATATTGTAGGGACCTTTCCATGACGGAAGCAACTTCTTTTCTTCTACTCTGTCTCGAGCAAAACTATAAAGATACACCTTATTACATGTTTCATACGCCTTATTGGTGGTTTTGAGATCATAATAAGTTTTATTACTTACTGCTGCTTTCTCGAGAATCTTATGTGCGAAAGCAAAAGCATGTTGTAGATGCTGACAAAGGTTTTCCACATACTGATGTGTCATGGCTGCATTGATCAGGTTATGATCTGATGTTGTGGAAGTACCATTTTCCTACCTGTCATCAGCTCAAAGGGTGACATCTTAGTAGCAGCACTTGGTGTAGCTCTGATAACCATTAGCACTAAAGGCAACTTCATGTCCCAGTCTTTACCTGATTCCTTAACGAATTAATTAAGGATGTTGACAATTGACTGTTTATATGTCACGACTGCTTTAGTGGCAATTGGGATTCACAACTGCGGAGTTTAGCACGCGTTTGGTGGTTGGAGACAGCTTCTCAGGTTCGAGTCCCAGGCATCACTCCCTTTAGGAGGGGTCCTTCCCAGGCAGGGTAGATTGAGGCAGAGATTGTCCAGAGGGATTCCTTCCAAGGCAGGGTAAATAGGGAGATTGTAGGGTTCAGAGTCAATGAGGCAGCAGGCGTTCTGACTTCAATAGTTGAACGCCATACTGCCTCAGCTGACAGTCCATGTACCCATTGCACTCCTGACCGCACGTCCAACAAAGTATCCTGGGTGCTCAGTAGTCGACGGATGGCCACCGTCAAAGTAATGCAGAAAAGAAATAGACACCGGCACTCCAATAATAAATCGATTACGTCTATTTATTGACGTACATCAAAAGCAAAATAACACACTTAGTGCGACGTTTCGGGGACACACAGGAACCCCTTCATCAGGCAAAACTGATACTGCCTCAGCTGGGGCTTTAAATAGCCCAGGAGTGAGGGAGGAGTCAATTGCCTTGACGACCGGCTTCCGCGTTCCACCGTGGAACGCAGGCCGCTCGCACCGCAATCCGGAAGTCGAGCGGCTTCCGCGTTCCACCGTGGAACGCAATTTGTCCGTCCCTGCATGTGGGGAGACCCGAGCGGTCTGAACCCTCGGGACTCGTTACATTATAGCACTTTACTGCTCCGCTAGATGCTGGGCGATAGGCAATGTGCAATTTCCGTTTGACGCCCAAGATTTTCCACATGTTAGACATTACCTCACTTGTAAAATGCCGGCCCTGATCCGATTCAATCGGCAGACCAAATCTGGAAAAAACATGGTTAATAAGCAAAGTGGTGCATGTTTCCACGGTGTTATTATGAGCCGGTAAACACTCTACCCACTTGGTAAATACACAAGTGACCGTTAACATCTATTTGTTTCCCCTGGATGACTTTGTGACAGGACCTATAAAGCCGATCTGTATATCGGACCATGGCAATGAGAAACCCTTTTTTATGAAGTGGGGCAAGATGTGTGGGACCTTGAGGTTGGAACTGAGCGCAAACTAGACAACCCTGACAGTATCCCTCATGTCCAAGGAAGATGACTTTGGTACGACACCATTGGGCTTTCTGTAATAAAATTTGAACACCTGCCTCCCTCAATTGGTTAAGCACGCGCCTAATCTCTTGGACATGCTTTTCCAACCCAAAGCTACCCAATCATTGATATCCTCTATAACAATCAATTTTTCTTTAAAAAAAGACATCACCTGAAGATCACTTCTCTAGCATCCTTCTTAGTCAGACCAGTCTCAGATTCTGCACCAGAATGACTAGATTAGCTAGGAACACTCTTAGTGGTCTATTCACTAAGCTGCCGTAGGCAGCCGAGTGAATGACCGACCTGAAGCGAAGTGAACGCTGTTCAGCTATTCACTTCAGGCCGGTACGGCTGATTTCAGCCATATATCAGCTGAAATCAGCCGTTCATCTGCTGGCTTCGCGTGGCTTCGGGTCGGCTGAACATGCTCAGCATGTTCGGCTGACCCGAAGTGCAGAAGGAGTTCGACTCAGCCGATCAAACATCTGGATCGGCTAAGCCGAACCTTCGGCAGGCTACTCGCTGCTGTTCGGGCTATTCTTATAGATGCCGAACAGCTAAGCGGAATTCGGCTCGGCTGTTCTGCTCGGTCTCTCTGTGGGACCGAGCAGAACAGAAAAATAGTTTAAAAAGTAGAAAAATAAAACTAGAAAATGATTGTGCGGATCTAGCAATGACAGCTAGCTCCGCCCAACAGTTTTCTATTGGCCGGCAGTTCTGCTGCCGTCAAAAAAAAGAAAAAAAATTCTGGCTATAGGAATGCATTGCTAGATTCCTATTGGCTATTTCAATTTGCAATAGCCAATAGCAAACTAGCTATTGTACCCGCCCTCTGCTGCTGTCAATCAGTTGTGGGGACCTGATGAAGAACTGCAGGGCGCGTGCGGTGCTAGTTTGCTATTGGCTATTACAATTTGAAATAGCCAATAGGAATCTAGCAATGTATTCCAATGGTGAAACATTTTTTTTTTTATTATTCTGACACAGCTCTGTGTCAGAGTAAAAATAAAAGAAAGAGCAGTGTCTCTCTCCTGGGCTGCCGGGAGCGCTAGGCTGTCTGGAGATCAGTGTCCCTGGTTAGCTGGTAACCATGGACTCTGATCTCTCTGCAAGTGGCCGGAGCCAGCCGTAAGATCTTGGCTGGCTCTGCCCAGCTGTCAGAAGCAGGCTGTCAGCTGGCCACTGGCCGGCCCTTTGTCAGCTTCGACTTTCAGCCCGGCTCAGCCGAGCCGAGGCATATGCCTTCGGCTCGACTGAGCCGCTCGGCCAAGTTTGGGAGCTGTACGGGCTATAGTGAATAGCCCGAACAGCAGCCCTTTGGTTGTACTCAACCAAAGGGGTCCTGGGGCCGAAGCTAGCCAAAGGATCAGCCGAAGCTCCTCCTCATCCCTTATGTTAAAGGCCTATAGCATATACCCATCAATAATTTACCATTTTATTGTTTATCTCCAGCCATAAGGACTCTGCACCATTATCAGTATCATTAGTGATATTGAGCACATTTATCATAAGATTTTTCTGGATTTACAGGAATACCCCTCCCCTTCTTCTTTCTTCCTTGTCCCTCTAAAATAAATTGTACCCGTAAATATTCACAATCCAGTCATGTGTGTTTTAAACCAGGTTTCCATTTATATTAAATTATAGTTGGGCTGTTACATGACTCAGCCATACTCTCAGTGTTGGACTCCAATAATGTAAGCTCCTTCATGCCTGTTATGGTCCCCCTTTCACTCCTTTCAATCCTACTCCCCCACCTCTGTGCCTTGCAGCTTCTTTGGTTTTTGCTCACTATCTGGCAAGGTCTTTTTTAATTCCCCTTTTGGATCCTAGTTTAAAAAACTCTCCACCGGGGGGGCGTGGCCTGACTATGGCGGTGTAGAGACGCTGAATCTTTGAGCTATGCTGCTATCCGGGCATCATGCAACTACCGACTCACCATAACTCTCTCGCCCGATGTCCAAGAAGTGCAAAGCCGTGGGGGACACCCCTTCTTCTCTTCCCCATCTGTCTCTACTCGCTCCGCCTCACACTCTCACCCTCCTCGCTAGGGTACCCTCCCTTCACTCACCTACCCATCTATTCCTTGACCCCCCTAGTTCACGTCCACCCTCCCTCTTCCCCCTTGCGCCTGCGACCAGGTCATGGCGACTCTCAAAGTCCTCTCCACCAATGTAAAAGGGATGAATGTCCCTGAAAAAAAGAGAATGATCCTAAACGAACTCCACCCCCAGAGAGCTGAAGTTGCTTCCTACAGGAGACACACTTCCACTTCCACGTGTAGAGACTAGAAGGTACCCGACTGCCTACCACATCGGCTCACCGGACAAACGATCCAGGGGAGTTAGTATCCTCATCTCGAGTAAAGTACCCTGGTCGCTTCTGGACCAGCATGTGGGAGAAGAGGGCAGGGTCTTGTTCTTGAAAAGGACTATAGGCTCTCAGGTTCTGACATTTGCTAACGTTTATGTCCCTAACCAACACCACCTCACATTTCTGGAGTGTGTACTGGCGCGGCTGTCGGGGTTCCGGGAGGGTGTGTTAATTCTAGGGGGTGATTTCAATCTCATCTTAGATCCGTGCTTAGAATCTTCCACTGGCGTAACAACCGGGGGGGGGGGGGGCGGCCGGTGCGCTGGCCCTGGGCGTAAAGCCGAAGGTGGCCGCCAGCCGAAAATGGCACTTTTGGCTAAATGCAGAAAGTGCCATTTCCCTGCCGTTTTGTCGGCGCAGCCGTGATTTCTTTCTTCCCCAGTGGGTGCTGCTCTTTGTCCCAGCAGGGAGGAAAGAAAGTTACAGTCGGCCGAGCGCTGTGGGAGGAGACCGACGGGAGCGGCCGGTGTCTCTCCTCCCACACCGCTCAGCCGCCTATCACAGTCCGACAGAGCGGTGTGGGGCGGGGACCGCCCACGCTGTCACAGGAGGCTGGGCTCTCCTCCCTGCACCACCCCGCCCAGCCTCCTGTGACAGCGTGTCATTGAGGAGAGCAAGAAACAAACACTCAGCAATCAGTGATCGCTGAGTGTTTGTAGATAATTGAGGACATGGTATGGTTACTATATCCTCAATTATGAAAGAATGGGAGTGATCTATCTCCCCTCCTGTTCATTCATAGTTGTAGTTATAGTAAACATACTCAGTCCTCATGTTATCTATGAACAGGAACACTCATAAAGGATGCCTGTTCATTGATAGCAGGGGATACAGAAAAAGAGATTGAGGACTCTGTGTTCTCAATCTCTTTTTCTATTTTAACCCCTTTGTGACGGGAGACGTACAGTGTACGTCTTGTCACTTTGTGCCTATATGACTGGCCACGTACACTGTACGTGACGAGTTATATCAGGCTTTGTAATGCCGGTATTTGCTGATTCTCAGCATTTAACAGTCATTCATTAATGTCTCAGTATTGAGGCATTAATTAATGAAATAATTAAGCTTTTTGTAAAAGCTTCTTCCTTTCATTAATGAAAGAATGAAGCCGTTACATGCAAATAGAGGACCGCAATTTGCGATCCCGTATTTGACAGCTCAAAATAGCAGAGA